CAATCTTGCTGTCTCCGACTTTCTGATGTCCATCACTCAGGCACCAGTCTTTTTCATCACCAGTCTCCACAAGAGGTGGGTGTTTGGGGAAAAGGGTTGCGAATTGTATGCTTTTTGTGGCGCTTTGTTTGGAATTGGCTCCATGATTACATTGATGGTGATTGCGGCCGATCGCTACTTCGTGATCACCCGGCCGCTCTCGTCTATTGGAGCGATGACATTGAAACGAGCTGGGCTGATCCTGGTTGGGGTCTGGTGTTACTCTCTTGGATGGAGTCTCCCCCCCTTTTTTGGCTGGAGCGCCTTTGTTCCTGAAGGTTTGCTGACATCATGCACGTGGGACTACATGACCTTCACCCCTTCAGTCCGTGCTTACACCATGCTCCTTTTCACCTTCATCTTCCTGATCCCATTGCTGATCATTATCTGTTGCTATGTCTTCATCTTCAAGGCCATCCGAGCTGCAGGCAGAGCTGTTCAGAAGATCAACTCAGGAGAGTCTCAAAAACTTTATGAAAAGATGAGAAGTGATTGGAAAATGGCTAAAATTGCCCTGATTGTCATTTTGCTTTATGTTGTCTCCTGGGCACCTTACTCTTGTGTGGCTCTTACTGCCTTTGCTGGTTACTCTCACCTTTTGGCCCCATATATGAACTCAGTGCCAGCTGTGATAGCAAAGGCTTCTGCCATCCACAACCCCATCATCTACGCCATCACACACCCCAAATACAGAGCTGCTATTGCGAAGTATGTCCCCTTCCTACGGGTGATTCTGAGGGTTTCTGAAAAGGACTTGCGCTCATCAGGCAGCTACACCTCCATGCGCCGTTCCACACTCACCAGCCAGTCTTCCAGTGTCAGTGCGACCAACACTCGGTGGGCCAAAAGCCGCCATTCATCCACCTCAGACAGCGAGTCCTGCTGGACAGAGAGTGAGGCCGATGTCTCTAGCCTTTGCTCGCCTTCCTCCAATCGACAGGTGACCACCGAAATCGGAGAGGACATAACCGTTGACACCATCATACAGTCCCAGCCGAGCAGCAATAACTCTTTGTTTTTTAACAAGACATCAAGTGACTCCAGAGATATCTCTGTGACTGAAGTCAGCCAATCTGAATGCAGTGTATTTCCTCTGCCTGGGATTTAGATGTAATTTAGGGTCGCAAAAGAGCTATGATTATGTTGGTCAGTCTTGTGCACTGTAAGTGTGTGTCACTTTGTGTATTTGCTTAACATTCCTATTGTTTCTAGATGTAAGTTGCTGGGTAGATCACGTGTGATTTTATTAGCTTACATTATGTGTATCAAAATGTGGCCCGAGAAAGCAGGTGTTTTGCTAATTTTACAGCTACAGTATTTTTTAAGCTTCTGCTACTGCAAATACCTGTAAAACTGACTGACTTTCCTCAGTTCCGTAAAATACTCTTGTCACATAATTAAGAATATGGTTAGTATATACTGTTGATTGTGTAAGCCCATAAGGATGGCATCCATATATTCTTTTTTTAAACATCTTAATACTGTACAAGTACTTTCAGATATTTATAAATTGTATTTTCATGTTTTTCTCCTCATGAAAAATAAAATGTTCTGCACTGTTCTTCTTCACTGGTATTAATGAAAATGATAAAATATTACGTACAGGAAACATTCATTGTTACAGGTTTGTATGCTTTCCATCAAAGAAGAACCACCACAAGTTTTGCAAATTCTTCAGCATGAGGTTTATTTCATTTTTTAGAAGTAGCATTCTCTACTGAACTTAATTCAGTTAAAGTGATTCAGTCATTATAAGCACTCATTTTTCGATAGGTTTGAGAAAGCAAAAAAATGCAACAAGCTCGATATTCATTGTTCATTTTATTGTAAAAAAAGCTAACGTAGAACTTTGACTAAATTCAAGGCCTTGAGGTATGCCACATTTTTAATTATATGTTGTTTAAACAAACACAACAGATAATAATGAGTGTCAATGAGTGTTACCCAGTTTTTGCTGCAGGTAATTATACGTTAAAGAAATAAAAAACCAAGCATGAAAAGCATCAGTATACATTTGATTCAGGTATATGTTTGTTTGCCAAGCTGTCCCTTTTAATAGCACATTAAACCAATGAAGTGAGTATTTTTTATTGCAGTGGGTTTTAAAATAAAGTATTGTGATCCAAAGATACTTGAAATAGCTCAAGAATGAACACCCTAAAGAATCATCAGCACTTACTGTCTCATTAGTATCTGGTTAGTATCTTTCTGCATCACTTGTACATAATTAGGTGTAAAATTAACTATGCTTTATAATGGTTCCCCATGATACCCTATCTTCAAATTACTTTGGTCTTTTTCATTTTTGTTTAGAAAATCTAGAAAAAAGCTTAAAGTGGGTGAAGTGCATATTGTTTCACCTCAAACCAGTGAGCTATAGCTTCAAATGTCAGATACATCCATTATTTATGTTAATTAAAAAGCTTTCCTTTATAACACCGAACCATCAAACTGTGTGTAACAAATTTCACTCACTATAACACAGCAATAACTTATATTTGATATAATTTGTTAAATCACGTGAGGATTCCAGGTCCAAGTTAAATTCCTTAGCTTCAAATATGGAGACCAACCAGCAAAAAAATGCTGAAGGTTTTCTTAAAACACCAGTTCACTCCAGAACCACACATCCATTGATCCATTTTCTATCTAGTTCATCCAATTTGGGGTTGTGGGGAAGCAGGACAGTATCCCAGCAATTAATGAGTGTAGACTGGGATACACACTGGACGTCCCGTCAGTCCATCGTAGTGAAGCACACATAGCAAAAAGTAATGCCTTCTTGGTACAGTATATTGGTAAAGCATATAACAGATTTGGGTTTTTTACTTATTATTTAATAAAATACACGTGTTTATATCTTTCCAATCCAGTCAAACTACATATTTAGCACTTTTACTGTTGTAAGCTTACGTTCGGTTTAAACAGTGTTGGAATTTATCAGCCTTTGAAGTTTAATTTTGTTGTAAAATATCTATTTTCCTTTTTTTCTTAATGTCTTTCAGGACAAATAAAACTAAGTGTAAAGCAATTCTCTCAAAATAAAATCTTTATTGGTTAATGAGTGTCAAACGTTTGTACACATTATAACTTAATGTCTCCCACTTTGCAATTACAATATCCTTTAATGTCATTGTGATAAAACACATTCTTACTCACAAATCCAGTTTTTAATTTATTGGATTATTTATTCAAAATGTTTTATTTAGGTTCATATTGTATAAAAACTCTGTATCGATTAAACTGTTAGCACACATCTACAGAATACTTTGGAAGCAAATATGATTAAGGATGAATGTTTTAAAATTTAAAATAAATATTGTACATAATTTAAGCTTTTAGTTTTTAGTGACAAGGCACTTTGATATCACATTTTTAAACATGTGATTAAAAACCACAAAGTGATAAATCATGACCTGGTTTGAATGCTCTCTCTCAAACAGCATTGTTTCTTACAGTATGTCTACTATAGCTTCCAGGCTGACTGCAGAATTAAAACATTCAGTGGATGCACATGTATTGTAATAGTGTATATTTGTAAATCCTGTTAAATACATGATGTTACACATTTATCTTTTGCGTTTTTGGATTTCTGAGATTTTCCAGCAGTTTAATGCACATCCTCATGCTGCTCACATAACAATGGTTTTCTTCCAAGATGAGAATGTGATAGTTATACCATGGTTGCTCTGCTCATAAGACTTGAGCCCTGTTGTACATGTGTCCATAGGTTGAAGTAGTTCTAGTTAGCTGCGTCAGCACTTGTGGGCTGCAAAGGAACAAGTAAAGGTTTATTCGCTGCTGAAAAGAAGAAAACAAAAAGAATTTCGGCTGTGAAGCCTTCTTCAGGTGTTTAAAAATACATACAGAAGTTGGGAATGAATTACACTGTAGTATCAGATGAAGAAATAAAAATGACATGACTGGATAGATAAATGACCAATGAACTTCAGTATCCAGCATTACAAATGGTGATGTACAGAACAGGTGACAGGAATATACACTATTTATACCAAACCGGTTACACTGAGTTTGACAAATGCTTACTGAAAATATTTTTTCACTGTCCTCCTTTTGAAAACACAGATAAACGGAAATGCACACAATAAAAAAAGCATACAACATTAAGTTCAGAAAGAAGGAGCACATGGTCAATTATCAACATGAATATGAGGTGAATTTATAATTGAAAAGACAGCCCACTTCTTTGCACAGGGTTGTGGGTTTCTTGAACACACTGTCTGGCCGAGTTGTGGAAGCTAACACTCTGTTCCTCAAGAACTTCTTGGTGAGATTTTGGAATTGATTAGCTGGTGTGAGTTTTTGAAGTGAGAAATATTTACATGGTCAGAGAAATAAATGTTTACTTTTCAAATACTGTGAACGGCTAGCAATTACTGCTGTACGCTGTAATGATGTGCATTTGATAAGTAAACTTTGAACTTAAACTGAATCATCAGATCAGATGCATACCATACCTGGCACTTAGATGGTCTATGCTGTATCAGTCAGTCAACTGTTCATAGATGTGGCAAGATGAGGGCACATCTTAATGTGTCGTAAATTGTAAATAAACACCCTTGAACATTTTAAGGGCACGGGCTCGTGATGAGCAAAATTGCACATTTACAGTACTGTTATGGAACTGGCCTCAGAGTGAAACGTTAATTGGTGTTTTTATGGATCCTGGTAACATTGTCCGTTTTTTTAAGAAAGGGGGACATAAATGGAATGACGGCCTTTCTCAAAGCTTAAAAGCAGATTAAGTTATAAACTTTGGCATAAAACACACAAAGCACTATGGTCTTCTGATGATGCAAAGTTTAGTCAAAAGCCTCCGGCAGACAATTTACTTCAACACTTCCCTCTGCACACTTCAACTACATTGGCTTCCTGTATCTGTGCCCCTGGTGCCGCGCATGCTCCGCAGTGCCCCCACTTTTGTGTTTCCTGCTTTAGTGCTTCCTATTGCAAAGATGGCAGAAGTAAAGATCAGTTTGGTTTGTGCGGGTAAAAACATTTTAAAAATCATTTTTGCAGCTCTGATAATGCACATGATCTATTATGTCGGCCGTTGCAAAATATTTATCAAGTGTAGTTTTGCATTTCTTTAGGCTAAAACACTACACTGTTTTGTTTGCAAAAAGATTTATAATTTCATTTTACTTATTTGACTGCAAAAGTCCATATTATTAGTCTGATATTCTAACAATATATGATGTTTTTCCTTAAGCAATTGTTCTTAGTTGCTTTCTTTGTTTATTTGCAGTGATTCTTCTGTGTAGAACAGCGGTAGTAGCTTATGTGGAGGATCTGGATGACTCGTAAGTGATGCTGGAGCACACAATTATTATTTCTATTATTTTCTTTCATGAATTTTGTCTGTCGTTTCTGATTGTTGCTGATGGTACGTGGTTAATTGCCGAAAACGTTAACACGAGATATCTGGAATGAAGCGTTTAAGCTAGACTATCAGAACTACCCTGTGCATACAGTTTCTTTAATTCACTAATTAAGGGGTTTTCACTGCTTGAATCCAGTTGCGTTGGTGAATGTCTAATACGTGGGAAAGCAGGTTTAAATGTCAGTTAAATGCTTCTTGAGAAACACCACGTGCTTACAGACTTTACTTAAAGCGTCTAAAGATCCTGCAAGATAAGTGAGGCAAGTTTACAGTAACTTGTATTTAAGTTAGTATAATAAAAGTGTCTGAAAGGAGTTCCCCTTAATCGTATCCACTGTATTCTCTGTAAAATCTGGATATTTTCTAATTGTTCATTTATACATTGTTACGTAGAAAATATGGTGGAACACTAATGTTAAAATATTGAAACCATACGTTCATTCAATATTTAACATTTTAGGTAATATTGCATTATCGTCACAGCCTTTAATCTTTGTGTGAACTATTACTACGTTCTTGTGCCTTTGTTATGAGTATAATCGAGTTTGCCAGACTTAATGTTTAAAATCGACAGTGATATAGTACAAAATATTGAATCCTATGGTAATCTGCTTATGTGTTTGGTGGTTATGAAGCATCCATAACGTAAGGCTTAAATAATGTTAAGTGACATTATGATAAGCTTTAAATAAGAGCAATGAAAGGAAACAAGCTACAGTTTGTTTAGGATTAGTATTTTGTTTCTCTGAAACATTAATTTCTGATTTGTTGAGGTTTTTAAAGTTGTACATTTAAAACTTTGAGTATTCTTATATGACACTTTTCCAGAAGAGACAGTATGCAAGTACAACAGTATGCATGTGTGGCCTTTGTAGAAAATGGTAAGAACTTTAAAAAAAACAACCTGAGTTTGATTGTGTGCCGTATTATGCCATATTCATTTTCCATATGGCACACAAATGGAAAATTTGCTTAATTTTGGACATTTTGCTGTTGTTCATAATTGTTTTTCCATTAATTATTTTTTTTAGGTTTAAAGAAAGCAGAATGGATGATGTGTGGCTAGTTGACGTAAGTAATGTTTTTAGAACAATGGTTGCTCAGGCAAAGTAGACAATCTGATTTTCTGAATTTCCCTGATGACATCATTCATGTTATCCCCTTTGGAAGTCAGTATAGACTGTGCTGTTTATTTAGAGAAAGAGCAGTCGTGCATACAAGTTTTATTCTGGCGATATTGAGTGAGCCCTTACAAATTGAATTGGCATATTCACACAAGTTGGTTTACTGGCTTGGAGTGAGCACCTTGTTATAGCTTGTATTACAAAATCAGCTCTGATGTTTTTCTTAGCTATGTAGTAAGTTGTTTTATTTGCAAAATGTACCAAAGTGCTTTTAAAACAAATCTTAGTTAAGAGTTTTGAACAAAACCTAGTACTGTCAGTGTCAAACATTGGGCTCAGTCTTCTTAAAACTAGAATTTTAAAGAAACCACAAAGATGAGTGTTTACTCTGAACATAGTAATAGAAACATGCACTGTGATTCCAATGCTAAATATTATGAATGATGAACAAGTTTATCAGAACTGTGAATTATGATTTACGATGTTAGAAGATGTGCTGTAAGCTAACTTGAAACATGCACGATTAATTTTCTTACATCTGTCAAAACTGGGCTTCAGAATACGACAGTGTAAATTCTGAAGTCAGATGACGAATTCAAATTGTGATAAGTTAAATTTAAACATTTTCTTGAATGGGCCAAAAATGTACTGCTGCCAGAAGAGCAAATATCTTCTGTAAACAACAGCAATTAAGATCTATTGTAATCCATTGTGTAATCCAACTGTAAACATTGCATAAAAAGCTAACTTTTAAAATATTCTTCATTGGTATGGTGCAAACTTTTCTTCATTTGAAACTGCTCAGACTCTGCATTTCAAAAGCTACACATCATTGATAAAGTATGGGAATAAAATCGAGATGTGTAAAATACTTGTAACATGGCTAAATAAATGGGTAAACTGCACATTAAAAAGTCTATTAAAGAAAATTACTGTCTCAAACTGCACAACCTGTTATAGCTATTTTAAATAGGTTCTTTCCTCACTGTTGGTGGTTTCTGGTTCAGCCAGAATTGTCTCCTGCAGTGTCCAGCAGGTGGGGCAGTAGTGAGTTCAGGCTGTAGAGAGAAACCTGCTCTATTTATTTTTCTGCAGTCTCTGGTGGGTGAGGGTCAGACTGCTGTGCAGTTCATGTTGTTTTTACAAAGCCCTGTTGGATATAGCTTGTTTTCATTTTATCATTGTACCATTTACCAAAACCGGATCCTCCACAATAAATAGCCATAATGCAGCGTATGAGGAAAATGTGATGAACCATTAGAATCATTGTCAGTTGTAATTGAAATATAAACATATCTATATTTTTTAATGGTACTCCTTCAAACGTCACTGTTAACTCCCAGTACCAACAACATTACATGTGAATCCAGATTTCTGAAATGTTTTAATATTTTGTTGTTAAAAACTGCTTCTTCAATTGCTCATGACCTACGAAATATTAACATGAAAGGTGGCTTCTCCTCCCACTTTGTGGAGTTGTTATTGAAGGAGTCTAGGATGAAAAAATGTGTATTTATAGGAAAAGTGAGTTGTTGGTACTGTTTCATAGATATGACACTAGTCTCATGTGTAGAGTAAATATCTCAAGAGATGTCAGTTCATTAGCACTTTGCCAATGGGGAAAAAGGGTTCCTGGCGGTATTTCTCAACAGTGTCATAATGTGCAAAACACTAACAGTATTTCATGGAGTTCATAGATGCAAGAACACGGCTCATATTACGTAATTTTATTAACAGTAGGTTGTGATTTGTAAAGTATTGCAAACGGTGGGAAAAGATTAAAACCTATTGAAAAACTATTGAATCGTGCTATTTAAAGATTGCGTGCTTATGTGCTATTGCAGATTGTCAAGATCTGTTTTGAAAAAGTGAAAAAAATACTAAAAATCCTAGAAATTTAAATAAAAAGTTAGGTATTTAAAATATCTTCTGCATTTCACATATATTTTGTGTGCATGCCAAAAACATAGATGAAACAAAAATAAATTTAAACATAACCAAATGCTCTTAATGCTTTATGCAACCACAGTCCAATGTGTAGTATGTATTGTATCTTGTAGCACAAAGAAGCAGAAGCAGTATCATGTAAGTCCAGTCAAATATCTTGCTCCTTAAAAGACTCTTCTTTACAGATCATTGTTTCTTTAATGAAGCTGATTGTTTTCAATAAAAAAAAGGCTTTGTACACAGGTCAGCAGTGTTGGATTCGAAGCAGGGAAACCATTTTGAACTTGTGAAAGGTTAAGGTATCGGATATCTTTTTGGAGTTTTCATGCAATTTCTTAACCTTCTAGTTCTACGCTCCCTGGTGCGGACACTGTAAAAAGCTGGAACCCATATGGCATGAAGTTGGCTCAGAAATGAGAAGTTCTGGTTCTCCTGTACGAGTCGGGAAGATGGATGCCACCGCCTACTCTAGTAAGTTGTGTCGGTGGAGCTTTCCACCTCCGAGTTCAGGATCTTGCTTTTGAAAGTGTTTAATGGAGAGCAATGTGAAGCATTTGGATTTATAGTGCAGTTTAACAGAAGTGCAGTACAGAAAGATTAACAATTGTAAAAGATTATTTTTCTAAATTGACATTTTCTGAATCAGGCAATTTTGTAACGCATCTTCATGCCCAGTTTTTACTTTCAGAATTTACCTGATCGATACTGATTATTTTGTTTGCCTATTAAAAGGATTGCATTTTGATTTAAAGCTCACTTGCTGATTTTTTTTTGTTAATTGCTGTGTTGTGTAAACTTATTGGTATATGTCACATTGAGTGCCTTTGTGGGTTATAAATTAGTTTAATTCCTTTGGCCAGATGGCTGGAGCTGTGTTATCCTTCTAGACATTTTCAATAACTTTTTCATGACTAAATCTTTTAATTCCTCTGTTCCTCGGGAGGGTTAATTAAGTGGCTTTGTCAGTAGTTCATTTTGTTTGTGGCTAGGGTGAGCCTTGTTTGTTAAGCTGGTCAGAGAGAGGATCCTGCAGCTTCTAATGAGAGCTATTTATATACTGGCCTTGCAGAAGTGAGATCAAGACCTGGATAAACTATCTCTTCTGGAAATACTTGTCTGCCTGAGTTGCTTACTTGAAGGGCTCCTGAGCATTACTCAGATGTGTTATTTAATGCTGTGTTATGGATTACACTTTACAAAGGCCAGAGAGAGCTTGTTCAGTTTTTTATAGTTAGCAGGATTAGCTGTCATGCATAGTGCCATTTTTGGAAGATTTAAAAGGAAGGCCACCTAACAACCCTTTCCTTCCCATGGAAAGAAAGCTTGGTGACAAAATCACTGCTAAAGTCCAGTTTTCACTACACTATTCTGTTCTATCTATAAATGAGCAGAAATGTTCAGTCGTAGCTCATGTAAACCTCAGCCAGGGCTGTTTTATTTTAGGTTCATAGTAAAACGGCCATGTATTCTAAATGTAAATGACTGAAATACCAGAGACTTTATTAGTAATATTCATTACTCTTTATTGTCAAAACAGAAATAGTACTGAGTGGTTAATGTCAACGCAAATCAAAATTGTGATGCATTGATTTTTGGTTTATAAAAGCAGTCCAATATTGTCATCTGGCAAAAGGGACTAGATATGCAGTACCTGTTGTATATTGCACAAAATCCTGCCTAGTGCAGTAGATTTGGTGGCTGCTGAGAAATGTTTTGAACTAAGGCAGAGGGATCTAAAGTCACTTTAGCCAGATTAGGTAGAGGTAGGTGGAGACTGTTGGCTCAGCCTGGAATATTTTTTAAAAAAATTAAAACATGCATGTGATATGTACCGTCTTTCTTTTGGAAAAGGGGCTTGAGTTCACCCATGAAAAAATGAATGAACAATGACATCCAGGGATAACACTGTTGTTTCAGATGACAGTCCTTATTCCTGTCACTTATATGATTAGTGTGACAGATTCCCTTGTGTGTGCATAACATAAATTAGTTCTAGAAAGTGTCCTGTTATAACCTTACAGCAATCTCACACTTTTCCTAAATAGAGTACAAAGTTGACTGATTCTGTGTTCTCCCTAAAACCCCTAGATATATACATTTTTAAACAAATGGTAAAGAATAGCACCATTTATTTTTATTTTATGGTCTTTATGTGGAATTAGCCTATTTTAAACTCCACTCAGTGCAACAATTCTCCAGTCTACTTGGGTAGAATGAGCCTTTTTCTCTGAATCACGAACCCATTTGGTTATGCCATTTGACTAACTGATGAAAGACCTGTACCTGCACTGGAGTTCTGGAAACACTCTCAAGTTACTTACTCACTAGCCTTTCAGCATTTGAGATACTGTGAGCTCCGACCTGACCTAAAAGGATTTTCAGCGTGGATTGAAGGAATAACGCAGCTCTCAAAGCAAGAAGGAACAAATAAAGGTTTATTCCATGCTGAAAAGAGAAGAAAAGAAACGCAACGTTTCAGCTGTGGAGCCTTCTTTGGATGTGAAGAACTCGCACCTGAAGAAGGCTTCACAGCCGAAAACGTTGTTTTCTCTCTTGTCTTTTCAGCATGGAATAAACCTTTACTTGTTCCTTTGCAGCCTACGCATGCTGACGCAGCTACCTGCTTGAACTTCTCAAAGGCAGTACAAGTTCCCCATCAATGCTTTTTATTCCACCATTTCTTGGTAAAATAAGGTTACTTGGCCAGTGACCTAATGACTTGGGCCCAAACTGCACTCTGAGCAAGTACCTTTACAGTTTGAGCCCTGTTTCCCTTATTCTTATGCTTGTCTACTTAACATTTGAAGAGGAATGAGTAATTTGAAGCTGACTAATTTTCCTTCCTAGGTGTTGCATCAGAATTTGGAGTAAGAGGTTATCCCACTATAAAACTGTGAGTATCTACTTTTGTATCTATTTTTTTTCATAAGATTTATTTATCTTCCTTTTTATGTTGAATTTTATTGTATTAAACTTCACTACTTTTTCAACAGCTCCTACTAAATAAAATCAGATACATTGTATCCTTGGAGTTTGTTGTTGTAGGACCTCACAATTGTACTTTAGCTACAACAGTAGTTGCCCATTTAGCTGTTCCTTTGCATGTATAATAAAATATTCTATAAATGATTTGGAACTAAACAGTACATTATTATGATTAACTGAAGATTGCGAATGAAAAGTAGGTAGCCCTTTCCTGTAGCTAAAGTATTGCTATTGCTAAACTATCCAACTCTTTTAGACAACTGACTTAAAATTCCTGTGGACTCCTGCCTGTTTTTAAACTGGTTTGATAAACGCAATGAAACAAAAATTAAAAACACATTACAGTGAGCAAAACCGTTTTTCACCAGATATCACCACGTGGAAGTATTTCACATACTGTCTTTCTGCTTTTTTCTAAATGACGAAAAAAACTTTTCTCCACAAGGACTTAAAAGAATTGTCACTTTCTTTTAAAGGTCCTTCTGAAAATCAGCTGTGAAAAATGAATTAATTAATGACAACATATTTTGCATAAGGCGAGATGGTGGCACAATGGTTAGCATTGATGCCTTGCAGTGCTGGGGTCCTAGGTTCGATACTGGACCTGGTGTGCTGTTTGCATGGAGTTTGTATATTCTCCCTCTGGTTGGGTGGGTTTCTTCTAGCAGTCCAAAAACGTATTGGTAGGTTAAAAGGCTTCTCGAAACACTGGCCCTGGTGTGAGTGTGTGCGTGTCTGTCTGTGTTCCTGCCCTGTGATGGACTGGCATCCCTTCCTTGTACCCTGCCTTGCACTCATTAATTGTCAGGATAGGCTCTGGCTCCGTTATGACCCTGAATTGGAAGAAGTGGTTAGAAATTGAATGGGTATTTTGAAAACATGTAATTATTTATATTGCTAAAACCAAAATTCAAGATCTCACTTTTAGTTTTTTTTTGTTTATTTTTAGTTTAGTTTAGAGTTTTCTTGGGAATGTGAAAGGCCTTAGTGCTGTATCTTGAACTTCAAAACCGTGTGTATTGGATTTGGCCTTGGATCATTTTATGTTGATTTTACTTCAAATTTTCTTTGTAGAGACTCGGGCTGAAAGTCCCAAGGCATGTATTTTAAGTCAGAGTTGAGTAGCCTTAGAGACAGAGCGCTGAGGAGACTGGAGTCCTGGGAGTCTGAGACTACACACTAATTAGAATTGTTGCCATTTACAGAAACTCATTAAACTTCTGTGTAATGGCAAATGGTCTTTGGTGCAGTGAGTGGTAGGAGAGAGATATTGGGACATTTTAAAGAAAAACCTGCATTGTTCCATTGTTCTGGTTAATGCAAGGACTGGTATAAAAGCCAAAGTTTTTAGGCCACTAAAGTTTTACAAATACGGAAACAAATGGCAAAGAAATTGAGATTTTAATATGTGCATGCAAATCTATAATAACCATATTGGAAGACATGAATATATTTTATAGATTGTAAGCTGCAAGCAAAATGCAGAGTGCTCAGGTAAAAATAATCCTTGCTAGTGTCAGGAATGAGAATAGAATTCCTTGACAAGGCAGTTCAATTCATTTTATTTATGAGCTGCAGGCTTTTGTGTGTGAGCCAGTAGGTGGTATGTGCTTCATGCTGTTTAATTTGTTTTTGGTAAATTTGTGCAGATGTGGTGTTAATATTAATATTTGCAAACCTTTTGTATCTGTACAGTTTATTCAGCAGCCTGCATCTCATAAAAGTGTCCCAACCCCTCTACAGCCTTACAGCTCCTCTTACATTTTTCTTTTACTCATGTAAACGTTTAGCAATGAAATAGATGAGGGCAGTGTCTATAACAGCTGATACATTTTTGGTTTCCCACTGTGCTATAAGGTGGCTTGGTGTAATATGCGTTCTGTAAAGAGTGTCAGTGTGGTACAATGATCTGTCTTTTTCAAAGGTTGAAGGGAGACCTGGCATACAATTACAAAGGACCCAGAACCAAGGATGACATCGTTGAATTCGCTAATAGAGTATCTGGGTAAGCTCCATTTTCTGTTTTCTCTCACAGAAATGAGCTGATTGTCACAGGAGCACACAGTCATGCATGTCATGCAAGGATAACACAAATATCCTTTAGACAAATATGCTAACATGCAATATGTAGAACATATACGTACTGTATCAAGAGTGCTACAGCTGATAGCAGACCACACCACCACACCACAACACCAGACAGGCGGCTCTGTGGCTAAGTATCTGCGCCTGTGGCTGGAAGGTTGCTGGTTTAAATCCCACGGCCAGCAGAGGAATCCTACTCCGTTGGGCCCCCAAGCAAGGCCCTCAACTTCAACTGCTCCAGAGGCGCCATATAAATGGCTGATCCTGCGCTCTGACCCCAAGCTTCTCTCTCCCTGTCTGTGTTCCTGTGTGTCTGATGGAGAGCAAGCTGGAGTATGCGAAAAGACAAATTCCTAATGCAAGAAATTGTATATGGCTAATAAATTGATCTTATCCTATCACAAATGTGCTATTTATGTACTTGAGTACTAGTAAAGTACATACACAGTGGCTTACACAGATTTTAACTCTCAAGCTGGAAACACTATGTTCGTCAACCACAGAATGTAAATTGTTATACAAAAAGTGTTAAACAAGCTTTAAACTTTTACACCTGCTTAAAGGGTTAAAGAGAATGGGTAAGAGTGTACACATCGTGCTACATTAAGAAGAAAAAACCCTGCCTTCATTTGTGGCCAAATTTTAGCTATGCTGCCTATCATAGTAGAAACACTGTGCAGCCTGAAAGTGCAGTTTGTTTTTCAACACACGTGTGATGCTTTGCACAGTGTGGAAATTACACAATGCTTACATTGAGGCATGACTTTTAAACAACAGAAGTTTAATTCATTGGCAGTATTAATACACATTCATTTGTTATCTTACTGTAAGCTTGGAAATTTTGTTATTTGGTCTTTAGTCTTGTGTCTTAATCCTTAAATATAAAATGAGTGGCTAATAACCCTAATCTAGCAACAAGCAGTGCGGTTTAAGAAAGATTTTTAAGGCTTTACAGAAAATTAACTGTACTCTTTGGGTTTTGAGCCATTTGGATGTTGGCAAATTAAATACAGATGGATGTTCTTTGTATTACAGCCTACGTAATGCTTAGACATTAGTCTGTGTCCAAATAAGTATAAAAGCAGATTTAACTTTCACATCAATAAATTCAAATGGTACTATGTTATCAGTGTTTCAAAACTTTATCCAGGGTATCTATTTGGAATAAACAGATTGTGTAATTTTACATTATATTTATAAAAACAAGCATGAGGTTTGTTATTTAAACAGTGCAACGCAACTTGGTTACACGGGAAGCATTGCAGTTAAAATGCAGTTTCAAAGATACATTCTATCCAGTTATCTCTCTCATCCTAGTGTTAATCCCGCATCAGCAGGGTCAGCTTGTCGGCACGCCCGTCTCCATTTGGTGGTTTGAACCAAATCTTTGAGCTGACGTTGCCATTAAATGCGACCGAGAATACTCCAACCGGTGCGTCGCTCCGCCTGCCGTCGGAGTAGGGGGAGGAGAACAAAGTAATGTAGCCAATTCATAGAGGGGGATTATTAGGAGGCATAGGAAATTTGGCCAGGATGCCGGGGTTACACTCCTACTCTTTTCGAGAAACACCCTGGGATTTTTAATGACCACAGAGAGTCAGGACCTCGGTTTTGTCTCATCCGAAAGACGGCGCTTGTTTACAGTATAGTGTCCCCGTCACATTCCATCCAGTAATGAAGACGGTTATTTGGACAGATGGTGTTTAAAGTCTCTCACCTCAGGAAGACTCTGTTAAAATGTGGCTTATGTCAAATGAGGAATAAATGCTGGCCTGGGCATGAGCAGACATAAAAGTATGGTTTTGTATTTAGAGCTGGCAGAAGCCTGGGAATGAAAGCAAATTATATCTGAAGCTTTAGGTTCTCACAGTCTAGTTATTTAAGTGAATGACTAAACTGGTACACTGGGCACTGAGATTACTGGTTGCAGGACTTCTGTGGTCTGATGGGGAGAAATGTCAGAGTAGTATTCCTTTGGCTGTAAGAAATGCTGAAAATAAAATTTTAAAGGCATTGTGGGTTATATAAAGAAGCTTTTTATTAGTAGTTGCTTCACTTTATTTCTTATTGATCATAACATGGAAAGTTTTTACCTTGAGATGGCTGTGATAGTATAGTATATCTTCACAAGGGCCTTGCTGTCAGATGGAAGAGCTTTGCCGTATGTTTTACAGAAACACTCTGAAACTTTCGGTGTCCTTGGACTTGCTAATTGTGCCTCACCTCATTTTAGCACACAAGCTTAAAATCCAAAATACAGTTTTGTATAAATGTGGGACATAAGTGTTAAGTCATTTATTATAGTGACTGGTTTTGATGCCTCACTAGTTGAATATGCAGCAAACCGTGTACATAATAGAGGAATTTCATTTCTCAAGATCATAGGTCTGGGCAGAGCATCAGGTTGAATGGGATATATTTGAAGATAGGTCCCTCACAGCTTCAGAATTTATTTTTTAAAGATTCCATAAAAATTGTGGTTCTGGTTTTCTAATTCGTCTGTGGCTGTGAAGTGCTAAGTTCCTTCTTGTTTTTTCTTGTAATATACCAAACGAACTTTTAAATAAATATATTTGGAGCAGAAGATTATATATGTATTCTGTAAGAGGGGCCAGTATGGTTTAAAGGTGGAATCTCCAGAGTGAAAAATGTCATGCCAAGCAACTTATAGCGTTAGAAGAGGATCGTGCGTGTAAATCTACCAGTTTCATTCACCCAGCCTATATTTAGTTGTATCAAGAGCAATCTAAGATTGAGAAAAGAAAGCTGTAGGAAGTATTCTTATGTGATAAAAGCAAAATGCAGTTTTCATTTTCTCAAGCTCATTTTCTGAAGTAACTTGACTTCTCAATTTAACTTGAGTTCAGAACAGCCAGGAATCTGATTTTCTACAAATACAAAATTATAATTCCTGGAATAATGGTAAAGATTCAGATTTATTCTGTAAAAAATACATTTTTAATTATAACTAAGCTATAATTGCGAATCGTCAATTAATAGCAGAAAATATATTTTTTTAAGATTCATGAACTTGTGATCTTCCCAACATGATTTTGTAGGACATTAGTTAAATTATCTGCAATATGGAGTTAAACATCTCCACCCAACATGTTATGGAAAAGGAATTTCTGTGAGAACATGAAACATGACTGTCATATTTCAGTTTGGTCACTAGGTGGAGCTGTGTGAGTGGTCTAAAATAAGTGTTTACAAGAGGTAAAGTGAAGGTATAGAATATAATCAACTGCTTTTAAGAATTGCAAAGCAAACCATATTATTAATCTTTTTTTAGGAGTGCACCAGATAATAACTGATAGCACATTTTAATTAATTAATTAACCACTTCATGACAAAAAGGGAGATCTAATGGAGTTTAATTTAACAGTTTAAATAGATTTATTTTTTAGAGAAAGCTAATGACGCCAGCTTAAAAGCACCCTTTTTAAAAAGAGTAAATGATAAAATATGTAAATAACTGTTTCAGACAAATTAATATAACAGTCTATTGGATGTAAAAGTTATTAACTCAAGTAAGATTTTCAATTACCCATGGTGTATACGTCTGAAATTTCACTGTGTCACTGATACAGATGTAATGTCTACAGTGACATGGGTAAAGGCAAATCATTTTATTTTTAAGCTGTTTATGACATATATTGTTGGCAAAGATAAAACAAAATAAAGGGCAAAAATAGTCATTACTTAAAATATGAAATTTATGTTTATTTTTCAAATAAAAATAGAAATAAATGCTGCATCATTTGAAGCAAAAGTACATAATACTTAAAAATACTTTTAGGGATGTTTTGTAATTCAACCAGTAATTTTGAAAGTTTCAGTGTTTTTCTCCATTAGAACTTGTTGATTCAGCATTGATTCAGATTGGGTTATTAACAAATTACTGGCATTTAAGGCTGAAACTGTATATCTTGATATTTTGTGTCATCTGACTTAACAATAGTGAAATTTTATTATCCTTTTTTGTAAATGTTGTAAGTAAGGATGATGCTTAGAAGGGGAAATGAACACATCGTAGATGCCAGTGTTAAAAAGCTGTATGCTTTTTTTTAACAGGATCTTCTCGGTCATCTTCTCAAGTTAGGTGTCAGGTCTGATTGATCTTCAGCATGAGCACAAACACATTTTCAAGCCATTATGCTGCACAGACTGGGAACAAACTTGGTGGGCTTAAATTTTAAAGAGCAAAAGATCTTGACCCCAGACACACCTAGAAGAATTGCGTTAAGTATGCTTTGATTTTTGAACGAGGTCCATATCAAATAAAAAAAAAATGCTGCATGACAATTTTTTTTGCCTCGAAAGAATTTTGGAGTGCTGTTAACTTCTATTTGCAAAGCGCTGCTGAAAGCAGTTACACAGCTCTGTTCATCTTTTTTTTCTTCCCCTCCCCCCCCTCCAGGCCTCTTGTTCGCCCTCTTCCCAGCCAGCAGATGTTTGAACATGTATTTAAGAGACATGATGTACTTTTTGTGTATATTGGAGGTGAATCACCCCTCAAGGTAGGAGAACCTTTTCTGTATATTCTGCCTACTGAAACGTCAGCTCTTGTGATTGGTTCTTCTTCCCAGAGCCATTACTGTTATACAGAAATTGCAGTGTTGACCCTTTAACAAATAACCTCCCCACATGTATACATATAGTCTTTTTTATAAAGTTTGTGTAAGAACTTAAATTGGTTGTTTGTTCTTTGCTTCAACAGTGGATATTGCATAAAAAATAAGCTTCTACTAAGAACATTTTTCCAGAAAGATATCATTTAGTTTGACGTCATGTCAAGAGATGATGATGTTGAGTACAATGCTGAAACCAAAAACGTGACTTTCTGCAATTATTGCATATAAAGAAAACAAATAAATATTCTGCTTTGTACTTTATTCTATATGGATTGAATTTATCAGGAATGAGAGGTTTTCCTATAATGGATAGGTGAACGTCATACTTGCAAGATGGAAAAAAAATGCTATGCTGTATACAGTATTAAACAAAATTAAGTGTCCTAAACCAAGTGAAGTATGGTTTTAAAAATAAATTTTGGAGATATGACTTTCAAATGACAAATGTTTTGACTGAATTTAATAATTTAATAATTCAAACAGTTCCAAGTAAGACATATTTTGGTTTTAAAGGTTTTAACCTTTGCTAATAATTGCTGTCATCTGTTTCAGCGCTATCTGTTATTGTATACCTACACGCAGCAGCAGTAACTACATTTCAAATACTGTTTTTTTAGATGGACGAAATAGATGTTCCATGAGGTTATGTGGATTTTGTAAGCTTGTGCTGCAGGACCAATCTTGTGTCCTTATTTAATAAGTAAAACTACTGAACATTTCATACAATAGCATTTGTAAATGGCTCTTGTTTTTTCCAGAAGTAAATAAAGCATTATTAAGAACTGCTCAAACAGAACATATGTTTCTGTAAACGTTTGGTAAAATAAGAGAGAGCAAGTGAATTCTAGTCACTGACATGACATTTCTATATCACTATGTGAGTAGTGGCTGGGATTCTGTCCAGCATTAATACAATGGAGCAAATTCTAGTTATTATGTGAGGACAGGGTTCCCTGAACTTGAGCTGGGTTACATTTATTGGCTTTTATCAACTATCGAAGTATAGCAATTTGTTCAGGAATGCTTTCTTTGTCACTAAAGGACATTAAGAGGTTTTTGAAATACATTTGTTTCTCTGGCTAGAGACTGTTCCTTCTCCAGAATGCAGGCCTTGTGCTTGACAAATGAAAAATAATCATTTTAGTCCCAGTTGTGCATTTTTGATTGGAATAAAGATGAGTTACCTGGTTTGTTTGAAAAGGTTTTAAGATCAGATGTGAGAATCCATTTCATTCATGTTTATAATGTTTCAGTCTAACTTGTTGTACTGTACTGATTCTGTTACAAATGTATGTAGATTCAGTTTATGATCCTTGTTTTCAAAACTATTAGTATTATTATTGTTATTCTTGTGAATGTTTGCTTATTAATATCAGTAAGTAATATTTGGTCAGCTCTTTCACTCTGGCCTGACAGTTCTGGGGCAATTCAGAGATTAGGGTTAAAATCATTCAGAATAGTCATGGAAATGTTAAGCAGTGCTAACCATACTCTTATGTGCAATAAGATTAGTTTTACAATGGTAAACTTGTAAAGCTTAAACAGTAACCTACATCCTCCGATCTTGAACTGGATAAGATAGCTTTCATTAAAAGTGAATGTGAGAGTTGTTGTTATTGCAAACTGAAAAGCTGCTGCATTTTGTTTTTTCAGGAAAAATACATTGAAGTGGCATCCGAATTGATTGTATACACATACTTCTTCTCTGCCTCTGAAGACGTTTTGCCAAAGGTATGTTGGTATGCAGAATTTGTAAAAGCTATCTTAGTTTCCCAGAGGGAGACCTTTTTTGGTCTATCAAAGGCTCATAAATGGGTGCATTTTTGCAATTTATAAATGTAATATACAAAGTGTTAGATTTAATATTGTTTGGTTTTAAACAGTTTCTGAACTTATTTAAACAGTAATTTATACACCAATGTCTATCTAAAGATCTTTTAATAAACTTCGAAAGAATATTTTTTGGAATATTCCATTCATTTACATTACATTTTAACTGATTTAACAGAAGAAATGAAAAGCTCAGTGGAGTTGCATTTAGACAGAGGTGAAGTACACTGTGTAATAACAGCTCAGTGTGAGTAGATGTGAAGGGGCTGAAAGTATGTGTGCTTTTATTTTTGTTACAGTTCAGCATAAGCAACACTTATACACAGAATGAACACCTGTATCTTAACTGGCTTTAACACTGCAATCCTGATCCACAGTATAGAAATACAAAGGATTTAATGCTTACATGCCATCTGCTGTTTTTTTATGTGAGGCAGCTCCTCTTCGTTGCTGTGTTATATGTGATGTATTCTAACATTTTACAGCAATATAGCCTTGATGCTCTGTAGTGGGCTTTGAAAAAGGGTAGGATGCCATACAGTATGTCCAATCATGGCCATTATGGGTCAAAGGAGGTTGGGTTCTTTCTAAAAGTGATGCTAGGAGGTGCTAGGAGATGTGGAAAGAGCAGGTTTGTGGTATCATCTGTAAATATTAATTGCATGTGCTGCATTTATACTGACTTTTAACTCCTGGTGAACTTATCAGGCACAAATGATAATTTAAGAATACCCAACCTTGTGTATGCTAATGCACAAACACCTAATACATATTTGAAGGCTTAGAAATATGTTTAAATATTTATAAATTAATTATAAAACGTTAAGTCATTGGCTGGTGAAGGAAGCTTCTTAGCTTAAAGTCTTTGACCATATTTAGACATCTCTGCCATATTTAGACAACGGCCGACTGCATCCAAGAAGACAACATTTTCTTGAAGTTAGACCTCAGAACAATCCTAACAACATGACTGGTAGTGTGTCTGGAAATTGCGGCTGTGCTGCATCCAAATAATCACCAAAACACATTTTAATATCTTATTCCATTTTATCATATTCCTATATTTATAATTTTACCATCGATATTTGTAAACATTTTGATGCCTTGTATAAAATTAAGGTAGGCTTTCCTATGCATTAACTTTGCTCAGTATTTAACCAGTGCTATGTGTACAATAGATGTTTTTTCTTTCAAGCCAGGATATTCATATATGTGTTGGATCTCTATTTATAAATACAGCTCTGTCATTTTTCTGAGCTGAAACAGTTTTGTAATAACTAATAGTATTTAATTTGTTTTGTGCTGTCTAGTTTGGAGTGTTTATCTTAACATTATTTCAAGATTTCTCTGCATGTGTTTATCCCCAGATTTGTCAAACTCACATTGCACTTGCCTAATGTTAATTTCTTTTGTGTGTAATAGTCAGTTTTGCACAGTTTAATCTGCCCAACACATGTCAGCTGAAGGCATTCTTATTTTGTTTAGCACATAACATTACAAGAGCTGCCTGCAGTAGCAGTCTTCAAGGATGGAACCTACTTTCTGTATGATGGTGAGTCTAGATTTGCCTTGTTTTTGCTGGGTGGTATTAGTACATGTGACTTAATATTTTTATTTTATTGTATTGCCTATTTTTATGCAATTTATCTGTAGCAGTGGTATTATTGTGTGTCTTCTAAAATAGCAGCAGACAACCCTGGCATAAATAGCATTGATGGGGAACTTGAAGTACAGTATTGCCTTTGAGAAGTACAAGTAGGTAGCTGCATCAGCAAGTGTAGGCGGCAAAGGAAAGGTTTATTCCATGATGAAAAGAGAAGAAGAGTTTATTTTCTCTTTTCAGCATGGAATAAACCTTTACATGTTCCTTAGCATAATGTTACTGTGCTCAAAATTGTGCAGGTAATCATGCGTTTTCCATTTCTGTGGAGAAAAATGTTTGATGACAACATGTAAAACATAAACGATGTTATCAAAATGTTATGCAAGTGCAAGATACGAATCTGCTGCTCTTATGATTAGGTTCAGTGATAATGGTAAAATGTTAAGATAAAAAATTTTCATCAGCATAATACATTTGTCATGATCTTTGTCACATCTGTTCAGTAAGAACATCTAGCCCATTTGCTGGTTAGTAGCTGGTTAGTAGCAAATCCATTGTCTTCGACAACTTCGTAGCTTATTGCATACTCTCTCAGCCCTTTGCGTATAGAAGTGCCTTTAAAATTCACATCCAAATAGTTTTCCAGTTGTATTCTATGGTTTAAGTAAAGAAATCCACTGGGTTAACTTTGCTATTGGCTTTGAAGATTTTGAATCAGCCTGCCTCATAACCTTGCCCTTGAGTCTTCTCCCTGTTCAAGACTAAAAAGCTTTAGTTTTGTTTCAGCTTGTCATTGTAGGATATTCCTTTAATCCAAGTGATGTATCTGGCTGCTTTTCTCTGGACTGATTCCAGAGCAGCAATATCTTTTGACCAGTATGGTACACAGATTGCTAAAAGACATTTTGCTAGCATTCTAACATCTTAACATCATTTTCCTTTACTTAAATTGTATACTTTTAACAGTATATCCTAACATTTTGTTTGCCTTTTTTATTGCTTGCATGAAAGTCATTATCGAAATAATGTGTTTAATAGGTTTGTGTCTGTTTTAAAGTAATGACAGTAACAATAGTCTCAAAATGGTTCTGAATATGTTTTTTGTGTTTATATATGTACTATATATTACATTTAATTCTGTGCAATATTACTGAAGCTTTTGATTGTGTGACATTTTGCATATGGAGAAATAAATGAAATACAGGTTGACATTTTCAGAACCAGTTTAGTGTTGTATAGTAACATTGTTTGACCCAATGTAGCTGATTATAGTTTTCTTTATCTGCTGTAGGTTCATGTGTCTAATTTACGTGGATGGGATGGTTATGTTTTTATATGTAAAGAAATTAGTATAGTGATGAAATTATCATGATAACAGGGATTTTCTAAGAGAAATATATTATTGGGTTGCAGAGAACCCATATTTACATAGCAACGCTAATTTATAATTAGCAGTAAAGTGGTAATTTGCAGTCTGGCGAGATGGGATGTTCTCAAAACATGGATATTTAAGTGGAAAGCCATGTCAGTGTTTGAACTGCAAAGAAACTAGTAGTTGTTAATTCCAAGCTAAAATAAAAAAAGAAATGCAATGTTTTGGCTGTGGAATAATCTTCCAGTAAAGTTTTATGTACTTTCTTGTTCCAGTCTCAAGACATAGCCCACAAGGAAGTACTGCACATTGAATCTTGTATTTGTTAATGGCAATGCTTCTAAGAGGGCAAAAGCTTGAATAGTAATTTTGTTTTTCAGTGCAATTTTGCCATTTTTTTTTGTTGTTGCGGTCATCTGTTACCAACTTTGCATCACCTTAGTATTACATTCCATCTGTAGCCATTAATCTTTATTTTCAGCTGTATGAATACATAGCTTGATGCAGTGAAACCTATGCAGACTCCATCCAAGATATTGTTTTAAAATTACATTGCCTAGCATACCAGTCTGTGGAAACCTTTTGGTGGGATAAAAGGTGTGATATTTAAACTTTTTCAGAACAGTAAGACAAAAGCTAATAGTGTTGGGTTTGTAATTAGATAGTTAATATTCCATTCTTGTATTTTGTCTGCAACATTGGGCTCTTGCACAAGCAGACTTTATTTAGGCTTCAGCGTTTTAAAACGCTCTTGGGGGCAAACATTGTAATTTATTGTTGGTCCCCTTACTAAAGGTGGTAAAAAAATATATTTTTATAAGTTATATAAGGCAATTTGCTTTAGATATGTTAACATTAAAATATAAATGTCTGAAAAATGAGAAGCCACAAGAGTTTGAAAAACATACAGTGATGTGCTGATCAGATCACAGTGCACTCTTGTGACAGTGTGACCCTTTGTTGTGTGGAGCCAGTCATAATTCAGTATGTTGACTGCCATTTTTCTCTGTTTCCGTATTACATGCAAATGTCCTGTCTTACCTTACATTGCTTTTTCCTGTACATGACATTGCACTGTACTCATGAAAAGTGTTCTCAGATCTGCATTGCATTGTGCATTAGGAAATTAAGGAATGCATTAAGCAAAGCAGGCAACCTGATCATTTTTATTATTGCCGGTGCATGTGCATGTAGAAAACCTCTCACCTCTCTTTTGTCACTTCTGAGTTAAAGGTACTGTTGCCTCCATCCATAGTAATCTTTTCAGCTTCCCCTCTAATCTTGTTTGTTCTCCCAGTAAATACTCTGAGCATTGCTCAAGTGTGAGAAGCATTCAGGCCACTCTAAATGATTCTCTGAATGACAGATAAAATCAGACAGTTTTATATAGTTGAATTTGTACAGACCACAGCAAAACAGATGCTTTTTTAAATGGTTGTTCTTTTGCTTATTAGATCTAAAATGATCATTAAAGTATAGTGTTAATGTTCACCTTGCCTCATCTATTTATAATTAGGTGAAAAATAAAAAAATGTAGGTACCAGTTTAAACTGTTGGTTTTGCTGGGCAAGTATACCTTTTCTTCTTGGATCTGTGTTGCATAATTGATTTTTAATTAATTTAGATCCAGGCATTGCTTTGCTCTTTTTAGGAGGCATTCAAAATTGTCTTGTACTGATGGAACAATGTATTTCCTGTCCATCCACTGTGGTGTTTTTATCCAGCTTTATCTTTGACAGAATTATCAAGTTTAATTCATTTAAGTGATGGAAAAAATTACGATGTGAAAATTGTACACTGTAGCTGGAACTTCCAAAGATAGTGAAAAGTATGTTCCTGCAGGTAAAATGCATCAAGATTGTTTTCAGCAAATTGAATTTAGAGCGGTTGGAACAGTCGTTGGCATTATGCCGTGCAGCGCTGGGGCCCTAGATTCGATTCCGGCCTGGGGTGCTATCTGTGTAATGTTTGTACGGCACCCCTGGAGCAGTTGGGGTTAAGGGCCTTGCTCAGGGGCCCAACAGAGTAGGATTCCTCTGCTGGCTGTGGGATTTGAACCGGCAACCTTCCAGCCACAGGCACAGATCCTTAGCCACAGAGCCACTGCTCCGCCCCAAAATAATAAAGCACACACAACAAAGTTAAAATGCCGGAACCCGGGATCGAACCTTTAGATCTTCAGTCTAACGCTCTCCCAGCTGAGCTATTTAGGCACTGGTGTGCTACTGGTGTGTTATTTGGCTTCTGGGAAAATTGGCCCTGGTGTAAGTGTGTGCATGTCTGTGTGACCTGCGATGGACTGGTGTCCTCTCCTTGTGCTCACGCTGCCTTCCGGGACCGAGCTCTCCCTCGACGCTGAATTGGAAAAAGTTCTTTGAAATTAGATGGGTGGACAAATTCAGAGCTACATGCTCTTACAAGTAGAATTACTGAAGTATACACATTTTTAAAGTGAGTATTTTTAATCAAATCCCAAATACTCAAACTGAACAGTTTTATAGGCGAAAGGTGTTTAATTTAAAAATATTCACTTTAAAATGACTCCATCATTGGTAATTCAGCAATATAGGAACATATTGAAAGAGAACCAATGCATTTTAAAGGCATTTTCACATTTTTCACACAATTATGCTTTTACTGTGTTTTATAACTCAAAAGTGAGGGTTTGTAGCTTAGATACCTATACTTCTTATACAGGTGTGTCTAAGACTTCAAGATATAAATAAAGATAAAGGGTTAAATAAAACATTTACAGATTTTATTATTTTTAGATAAAATTATAGTTGCATTTAAAAGTTACAATTAACAATATTTTCTCTTCTTGGCTGGCTGCACCATAAGCAAATAGAGTAATATTCATTTCAGTTTTTAGGATGTGTTAATTACCCCATAAACCCAGTTTTGTTCTGTATGTTTACATGAAGCAAAGACTATAACAGTTCAACTTATTCTGTCCAGTTTTTATGAATTCATTAACTTTGTTGTGGGCTGAAAAAAATAAACAAGATTCCACCAAATGTGCATACTGTTTTGATTTTCTTTGCGTTTAAAGAACAACTTAAAAACAATACATATTTTTTGATCACATGATTTCAGATAAATACTACGTACATAATACAGAGGTATGTTGTCTTTGTGATAAATGTGAGGGTTGAAGAAGTTGCGTTGACGTGGTTTTAATTAATTTCATAATATGCTCTGAATGCCTTAATTGGAAAAGTTATTGTTTTTAGAGAATGCACAACCACGTTACTCAATCACTCTTTAAACATATCTATGAAAAATGAAGGAATGTGGGACCGAGACTAGGGTTGCATACTCTTCATTTATGCATAAACCCACCAAAAGGGAAATTATTTTTCCTCTTTAATTTTACTTTCTTTACAGCACCAATTAGAAAAAAAGATCTAAAGAATGCTTCTCATAAGTGCATGTAATCTTATCTTTTCATTAATACTGTTTAAGTTTGTTTCTGTCTTCAGGTGGAGCTTTTTTATTCCAGTTTATACTGAGAAGCATTAGAGAGACATTAAATGAGCACTGGTTTGAAACCAATTGCTTTTGTTGCATTTGTAAT